CTCAGTTACAAAGACACACATAAAGAAGCAGGTAAGTTAATTACACCTAGTTATGCCAAGTCACTCAGTTACAAAGACACTGATAAAGTAGCTGGTAGGTTATTTACACCTAGTTATACCAAGTCACTCAGTTACAAAGACACACATAAAGTAGCTGGTAAGTTAATTACACCTAGTTATACCAAGTCACTCAGTTACAAAGACACACATAAAGTAGCAGGTAAGTTAATTACACCTAGTTATGCCAAGTCACTCAGTTACAAAGACACAGATAAAGTAGCAGGTAAGTTAATTTCACCTAGTTATACCAAGTCACTCAGTTACAATGACACACAAAAAGGAGCATATAAGTTAATTACACCTAGTTATGCCGAGTCACTCAGTTACAAAGACACAGAAAAAGTAGCAGATAAGTTATTACACCTAGTTATGCCAAGTCACTCAGTTACAAAGACACAAATAATGTAGCAGATAAGTTAATTACACCTAGTTATGCCAAGTCACTCAGTTACAAAGACACACATAAAGTAGCTGGTAAGTTAATTACACCTAGTTATACCAAGTCACTCAGTTACAAAGACACAGATAAAGTAGCAGATAAGTTAATTACAACTAGTTATGTCAAGTCACTCAGTTACAAAGACACACATAAAGTAGCAAATAAGTTAATTACACCTAGTTATGCCAAGTCACTCAGATACAAAGACACACATAAAGTAGCAGATAAGTTAATTACAGCTAGTTATGTCAAGTCACTCAGTTACAAAGACACACATAAAGTAGCAGATAAGTTAATTACACCTAGTTATGCCGAGTCACTCAGTTACAATGACACACAAAAAGTAGCAGATAAGTTAATTACATCTAGTTATACCAAGTCACTCACTTACAAAGACACACAAAAAGTAGCAGATAAGTTAATTACACATAGTTATGCCAAGTCACTCAGTTACAAAGACACACATAAAGAAGCAGGTAAGTTAATTACACCTAGTTATGCCAAGTCACTCAGTTACAAAGACACTGATAAAGTAGCTGGTAGGTTAATTACACCTAGTTATACCAAGTCACTCAGTTACAAAGACACACATAAAGTAGCAGGTAAGTTAATTACACCTAGTTATGCCAAGTCACTCAGTTACAAAGACACAGATAAAGTAGCAGGTAAGTTAATTTCACCTAGTTATACCAAGTCACTCAGTTACAATGACACACAAAAAGGAGCATATAAGTTAATTACACCTAGTTATGCCGAGTCACTCAGTTACAAAGACACAGAAAAAGTAGCAGATAAGTTATTACACCTAGTTATGCCAAGTCACTCAGTTACAAAGACACAAATAATGTAGCAGATAAGTTAATTACACCTAGTTATGCCAAGTCACTCAGTTACAAAGACACACATAAAGTAGCTGGTAATTTAATTACACCTAGTTATACCAAGTCACTCAGTTACAAAGACACAGATAAAGTAGCAGATAAGTTAATTACAACTAGTTATGTCAAGTCACTCAGTTACAAAGACACACATAAAGTAGCAAATAAGTTAATTACACCTAGTTATGCCAAGTCACTCAGATACAAAGACACACATAAAGTAGCAGATAAGTTAATTACAGCTAGTTATGTCAAGTTACTCAGTTACAAAGACACATATAAAGTAGCAGATAAGTTAATTACACCAAGTTATGCCAAGTTACTCAGTTACAAAGACACACATAAAGTAGCAGATAAGTTAATTACACCTAGTTATGCCAAGTCATTCAGTTACAAAGACACACATAAAGTAGCTGGTAAGTTAATTACACCTAGTTATACCAAGTCACTCAGTTACAAAGACACAGATAAAGTAGCAGATAAGTTAATTACACCTAGTTATGTCAAGTCACTCAGTTACAAAGACACACATAAAGTAGCAGATAAGTTAATTACACCTAGTTATGCCAAGTCACTCAGTTACAAAGACACACATAAAGAAGCAGGTAAGTTAATTACACCTAGTTATGTCAAGTCACTCAGTTAAAAAGACACACATAAAGTAGCATATATGTTAATTACACCTAGTTATGCCAAGTCACTCAGTTTCAAAGACACAGATAAAGTAGCAGATAAGTTAATTACACCTAGTTATGTCAAGTCACTCAGTTACAAAGACACACATAAAGTAGCAGATAAGTTAATAACACCTAGTTATGCCAAGTCACTCAGTTACAAAGACACACATAAAGAAGCAGGTAAGTTAATTACACCTAGTTATGCCAAGTCACTCAGTTACAAAGACACTGATAAAGTAGCTGGTAAGTTAATTACACCTAGTTATACCAAGTCACTCAGTTACAAAGACACACATAAAGTAGCAGATAAGTTAATTACACCTAGTAATGCCAAGTCACTCAGTTACAAACCACACATAAAGAAGCAGGTAAGTTAATTACACCTAGTTATGCCAAGTCACTCAGTTACAAAGACACTGATAAAGTAGCTGGTAAGTTAATTACACCTAGTTATACCAAGTCACTCAGTTACAAAGACACACATAAAGTAGCAGATAAGTTAATTACACCTAGTTATGCCAAGTCACTCAGTTACAAACCACACATAAAGAAGCAGGTAAGTTAATTACACCTAGTTATGCCAAGTCACTCAGTTACAAAGACACTGATAAAGTAGCTGGTAAGTTAATTACACCTAGTTATACCAAGTCACTCAGTTACAAAGACACACATAAAGTGGCAGTAAGTTAATTACACCTAGTTATGCCAAGTCACTCAGATACAAAGACACACAAAAAGTGGCAGATAAGTCAATTACACCTAGTTATACCAAGTCACTCAGTTACAAAGACACCACATAACGTAGCAGTAGTTATTACTTCTAGTTATGCCGAGTCACTCAGTTACAAAGACACACAAAATGTAGCAGATAAGTTAATTACACCTAGTTATACCAAGTCACTCAGTTACAATGACACACAAAAAGTAGCATATAAGTTAATTACACCTAGTTATGCCAAGTCACTCAGTTACAAAGACACAGATAAAGTAGCAGATAAGTTAATTACACCTGTTTATGCCAAGTCACTCAGTTACAAAGACATAGATAAAGTAGCAGATGAGTTAATTACACCTAGTTATGTCAAGTCACTCAGATACAAAGACACACATAAAGTAGCAGATAAGTTAATTACACCTATTTATACCAAGTCACTCAGTTACAAAGACACTGATAAAGTAGCTGGTAAGTTAATTACACCTAGTTATGCCTAGTCATTCAGTTACAAAGACACACATAAAGTAGCAGATAAGTTAATTACACCTAGTTATGCCAAGTCACTCAGTTACAAAGACACACATAAAGTAGCAGATAAGTTAATTACATCTAGTTATGCCAAGTCATTCAGTTACAAAGACACACATAAAGTAGCTGGTAAGTTAATTGCACCTAGTTATACCAAGTCACTCAGTTATAAAGACACATATAAAGAAGCAGGTAAGTTAATTACACCTAGTTATGTCAAGTCACTCAGTTAAAAAGACACACATAAAGTAGCATATATGTTAATTACACCTAGTTATGCCAAGTCACTCAGTTTCAAAGACACAGATAAAGTAGCAGATAAGTTAATTACACCTAGTTATGTCAAGTCACTCAGTTACAAAGACAGACATAAAGTAGCAGATAAGTTAATTACACCTAGTTATGCCAAGTCACTCAGTTACAAAGACACACATAAAGAAGCAGGTAAGTTAATTACACCTAGTTATGTCAAGTCACTCAGTTAAAAAGACACACATAAAGTAGCAGATAAGTTAATAACACCTAGTTATGCCAAGTCACTCAGTTACAAAGACACACATAAAGAAGCAGGTAAGTTAATTACACCTGGTTATGCCAAGTCACTCAGTTACAAAGACACTGATAAAGTAGCTGGTAAGTTAATTACACCTAGTTATACCAAGTCACTCAGTTACAAAGACACACATAAAGTAGCAGATAAGTTAATTACACCTAGTTATGCCAAGTCACTCAGTTACAAACCACACATAAAGAAGCAGGTAAGTTAATTACACCTAGTTATGCCAAGTCACTCAGTTACAAAGACACTGATAAAGTAGCTGGTAAGTTAATTACACCTAGTTATGCCAAGTCACTCAGTTACAAAGACACACATAAAGTAGCAGATAAGTTAATTACACCTAGTTATGCCAAGTCACTCAGTTACAAAGACACACATAAAGTAGCATATAAGTTAATTACACCTAGTTATGCCAAGTCACTCAGTTACAAAGACACACATAAAGAAGCAGGTAAGTTAATTACACCTAGTTATGCCAAGTCACTCAGTTACAAAGACACACATAAAGAAGCAGGTAAGTTAATTACACCTAGTTATGCCAAGTCACTCAGTTACAAAGACACACATAAAGTAGCAGATAAGTTAATTACACCTAGTTATGCCAAGTCACTCAGTTACAAAGACACACATAAAGAAGCAGGTAAGTTAATTACACCTAGTTATGCCAAGTCACTCAGTTACAAAGACACACATAAAGAAGCAGGTAAGTTAATTACACCTAGTTATGTCAAGTCACTCAGTTAAAAAGACACACATAAAGTAGCAGGTAAGTTAATTACACCTAGTTATGTCAAGTCACTCAGTTAAAAAGACACACATAAAGTAGCATATATGTTAATTACACCTAGTTATGCCAAGTCACTCAGTTTCAAAGACACAGATAAAGTAGCAGATAAGTTAATTACACCTAGTTATGTCAAGTCACTCAGTTACAAAGACACACATAAAGTAGCAGATAAGTTAATTACACCTAGTTATGCCAAGTCACTCAGTTACAAAGACACACATAAAGAAGCAGGTAAGTTAATTACACCTAGTTATGTCAAGTCACTCAGTTAAAAAGACACACATAAAGTAGCATATATGTTAATTACACCTAGTTATGCCAAGTCACTCAGTTTCAAAGACACAGATAAAGTAGCAGATAAGTTAATTACACCTAGTTATGTCAAGTCACTCAGTTACAAAGACACACATAAAGTAGCAGATAAGTTAATTACACCTAGTTATGCCAAGTCACTCAGTTACAAAGACACACATAAAGAAGCAGGTAAGTTAATTACACCTAGTTATGCCAAGTCACTCAGTTACAAAGACACTGATAAAGTAGCTGGTAAGTTAATTACACCTAGTTATACCAAGTCACTCAGTTACAAAGACACACATAAAGTAGCAGATAAGTTAATTACACCTAGTTATGCCAAGTCACTCAGTTACAAACCACACATAAAGAAGCAGGTAAGTTAATTACACCTAGTTATGCCAAATCACTCAGTTACAAAGACACTGATAAAGTAGCTGGTAAGTTAATTACACCTAGTTATACCAAGTCACTCAGTTACAAAGACACACATAAAGTAGCAGGTAAGTTAATTACACCTAGTTATGCCAAGTCACTCAGATACAAAGACACACAAAAAGTGGCAGATAAGTCAATTACACCTAGTTATACCAAGTCACTCAGTTACAATGACACACAAAAAGTAGCATATAAGTTAATTACACCTAGTTATGCCAAGTCACTCACTTACAAAGACACACATAAATTAGCAGGTACGTTAATTACACCGAGTTATGCCGAGTAACTCAGTTACAAAGACACACAAAAAGTAGCAGATAAGTTAATTACACTAGTTATGCCAAGTCACTCAGTTACAAAGACACACATAACGTAGCAGGTAAGTTAATTACTTCTAGTTATGCCGAGTCACTCAGTTACAAAGACACGCAAAATGTAGCAGATAAGTTAATTACACCTAGTTATACCAAGTCACTCTGTTACAATGACACACAAAAAGTAGCATATAAGTTAATTACACCAAGTTATGCCAAGTCACTCAGTTACAAAGACACAGATAAAGTAGCAGATAAGTTAATTACACCTGTTTATGCCAAGTCACTCAGTTACAAAGACATAGATAAAGTAGCAGATGAGTTAATTACACCTAGTTATGTCAAGTCACTCAGATACAAAGACACACATAAAGTAGCAGATAAGTTAATTACACCTAGTTATACCAAGTCACTCAGTTACAAAGACACTGATAAAGTAGCTGGTAAGTTAATTACACTTACTTATGCCAAGTCATTCAGTTACAAAGACACACATAAAGTAGCAGATAAGTTAATTACACCTAGTTATGCCAAGTCACTCAGTTACAAAGACACACATAAAGTAGCAGATAAGTTAATTACATCTAGTTATGCCAAGTCATTCAGTTACAAAGACACACATAAAGTAACTGGTAAGTTAATTGCACCTAGTTATACCAAGTCACTCAGTTATAAAGACACATATAAAGAAGCAGGTAAGTTAATTACACCTAGTTATGTCAAGTCACTCAGTTAAAAAGACACACATAAAGTAGCATATATGTTAATTACACCTAGTTATGCCAAGTCACTCAGTTTCAAAGACACAGATAAAGTAGCAGATAAGTTAATTACACCTAGTTATGTCAAGTCACTCAGTTACAAAGACACACATAAAGTAGCAGATAAGTTAATTACACCTAGTTATGCCAAGTCACTCAGTTACAAAGACACACATAAAGAAGCAGGTAAGTTAATTACACCTAGTTATGTCAAGTCACTCAGTTAAAAAGACACACATAAAGTAGCATATATGTTAATTACACCTAGTTATGCCAAGTCACTCAGTTACAAAGACACACATAAAGTAGCAGATAAGTTAATTACACCTAGTTATGCCAAGTCACTCAGTTACAAAGACACACATAAAGAAGCAGGTAAGTTAATTACACCTAGTTATACCAAGTCACTCTGTTACAATGACACACAAAAAGTAGCATATAAGTTAATTACACCTAGTTATGCCAAGTCACTCAGTTACAAAGACACAGATAAAGTAGCAGATAAGTTAATTACACCTGTTTATGCCAAGTCACTCAGTTACAAAGACATAGATAAAGTAGCAGATGAGTTAATTACACCTAGTTATGTCAAGTCACTCAGATACAAAGACACACATAAAGTAGCAGATAAGTTAATTACACCTAGTTATACCAAGTCACTCAGTTACAAAGACACTGATAAAGTAGCTGGTAAGTTAATTACACTTACTTATGCCAAGTCATTCAGTTACAAAGACACACATAAAGTAGCAGATAAGTTAATTACACCTAGTTATGCCAAGTCATTCAGTTACAAAGACACACATAAAGTAGCTGGTAAGTTAATTACACCTAGTTATACCAAGTCACTCAGTTACAAAGACACAGATAAAGTAGCAGATAAGTTAATTACACCTAGTTACACCAAGTTACTCAGTTACAAAGACACACATAAAGTAGCAGATAAGTTAATTACACCTAGTTATGTCAAGTCACTCAGATACAAAGACACACATAAAGTAGCAGATAAGTTAATTACACCTAGTTATGCCAAGTCCCTCAGTTACAAAGACACACATAAAGTAGCTGATAAGTTAATTACACCTAGTTACATCAAGTCACTCAGTTACAAAGACACAGATAAAGTAGCTGGTAAGTTAATTACACCTAGTTATACCAAGTCACTCAGTTACAAAGACACATATAAAGTAGCAGATAAGTTAATTACACCTAGTTATACCAAGTCACTCAGTTACAAAGACACACATAAAGTAGCTGGTAAGTTAATTACACCTAGTTATACCAAGTCACTCAGTTAAAAAGACACACATAAAGTAGCATATATGTTAATTACACCTAGTTATGCCAAGTCACTCAGTTTCAAAGACACAGATAAAGTAGCAGATAAGTTAATTACACCTAGTTATGTCAAGTCACTCAGTTACAAAGACACACATAAAGTAGCAGATAAGTTAATAACACCTAGTTATGCCAAGTCACTCAGTTACAAAGACACACATAAAGAAGCAGGTAAGTTAATTACACCTAGTTATGCCAAGTCACTCAGTTACAAAGACACTGATAAAATAGCTGGTAAGTTAATTACACCTAGTTATACCAAGTCACTCAGTTACAAAGACACACATAAAGTAGCAGATAAGTTAATTACACCTAGTTATGCCAAGTCACTCAGTTACAAGGACACACATAAAGAAGCAGGTAAGTTAATTACACCTAGTTATGCCAAGTCACTCAGTTACAAAGACACACATAGAGAAGCAGGTAAGTTAATTACACCTAGTTATGTCAAGTCACTCAGTTAAAAAGACACACATAAGGTAGCAGGTAAGTTAATTACACCTAGTTATGTCAAGTCACTCAGTTAAAAAGACACACATAAAGTAGCATATATGTTAATTACACCTAGTTATGCCAAGTCACTCAGTTTCAAAGACACAGATAAAGTAGCAGATAAGTTAATTACACCTAGTTATGTCAAGTCACTCAGTTACAAAGACACACATAAAGTAGCAGATAAGTTAATTACACCTAGTTATGCCAAGTCACTCAGTTACGAAGACACACATAAGGAAGCAGATAAGTTAATTACACCTAGTTATGCCAAGTCACTCAGTTACAAAGACACACATAAATTAGCAGATAAGTTAATTACAGCTAGTTATGTCAAGTCACTCAGTTACAAAGACACACATCAAGTAGCAGATAAGTTAATTACACCTAGTTATGTCAAAGCACTCAGTTACAAAGACACAGATAAAGTAGCAGATACGTTAATTACACCTAGTTATGCCAAGTCACTCAGTTACAAAGACACACATAAAGTAGCATATAAGTTAATTACACCTAGTTATGCCAAGTCACTCAGTTACAAAGACACACAAAAAGTAGCAGATAAGTTAATTACACCTAGTTATGCCAAGTCACTCAGTTACAAAGACACACATAAATTAGCTGATAAGTTAATTACAGCTAGTTATGTCAAGTCACTCAGTTACAAAGACACACATAAAGTAGCAGGTAAGTTAATTACACCTAGTTATGCCAAGTCACTCAGTTACAAAGACACACATAAAGTAGCAGATAAGTTAATTACACCTAGTTATGCCAAGTCACTCAGTTACAAAGACACACATAAAGTAGCATATAAGGTAATTACACTTAGTTATGCCAAGTCACTCAGTTACAAAGACACACATAAAGTAGCAGATAAGTTAATTACACCTAGTTATGCCAAGTCACTCAGTTACAAAGACACACATAAAGAAGCAGGTAAGTTAATTACACCTAGTTATGCCAAGTCACTCAGTTGCAAAAGACACACATAAAGAAGCAGGTAAGTTAATTACACCTAGTTATGTAAAGTCACTCAGTTAAAAAGACACACATAAAGTAGCAGATAAGTTAATTACACCTAGTTATGCCAAGTCACTCAGTTACAAAGACACACATAAATTAGCAGATAAGTTAATTACACCTAGTTATGCCAAGTCACTCAGTTACAAAGACACACATAAAGAAGCAGGTAAGTTAATTACACCTAGTTATGCCAAGTCACTCAGTTACAAAGACACACATAAAGAAGCAGGTAAGTTAATTACACCTAGTTATGTCAAGTCACTCAGTTAAAAAGACACACATAAAGTAGCAGATAAGTTAATTACACCTAGTTATGCCAAGTCACTCAGTTACAAAGACACACATAAAGAAGCAGGTAAGTTAATTACACCTAGTTATGTCATGTCACTCAGTTAAAAAGACACACATAAAGTAGCATATATGTTAATTACACCTAGTTATGCCAAGTCACTCAGTTTCAAAGACACAGATAAAGTAGCAGATAAGTTAATTACACCTAGTTATGTCAAGTCACTCAGTTACAAAGACACACATAAAGTAGCAGATAAGTTAATTACACCTAGTTATGCCAAGTCACTCAGTTACAAAGACACACATAAATTAGCAGATAAGTTAATTACAGCTAGTTATGTCAAGTCACTCAGTTACAAAGACACACATAAAGTAGCAGATAAGTTAATTACACCTAGTTATGTCAAAGCACTCAGTTACAAAGACACAGATAAAGTAGCAGATACGTTAATTACACCTAGTTATGCCAAGTCACTCAGTTACAAAGACACACATAAAGTAGCATATAAGTTAATTACACCTAGTTATGCCAAGTCACTCAGTTACAAAGACACACATAAAGTAGCAGATAAGTTAATTACACCTAGTTATGCCAAGTCACTCAGTTACAAAGACACACATAAATTAGCTGATAAGTTAATTACAGCTAGTTATGTCAAGTCACTCAGTTACAAAGACACACATAAAGTAGCAGGTAAGTTAATTACACCTAGTTATGCCAAGTCACTCAGTTACAAAGACACACATAAAGTAGCAGATAAGTTAATTACACCTAGTTATGCCAAGTCACTCAGTTACAAAGACACACATAAAGTAGCATATAAGGTAATTACACTTAGTTATGCCAAGTCACTCAGTTACAAAGACACACATAAAGTAGCAGATAAGTTAATTACACCTAGTTATGCCAAGTCACTCAGTTACAAAGACACACATAAAGAAGCAGGTAAGTTAATTACACCTAGTTATGCCAAGTCACTCAGTTGCAAAGACACACATAAAGAAGCAGGTAAGTTAATTACACCTAGTTATGTAAAGTCACTCAGTTAAAAAGACACACATAAAGTAGCAGATAAGTTAATTACACCTAGTTATGCCAAGTCACTCAGTTACAAAGACACACATAAAGAAGCAGGTAAGTTAATTACACCTAGTTATGTCAAGTCACTCAGTTAAAAAGACACACATAAAGTAGCAGATAAGTTAATTACACCTAGTTATGCCAAGTCACTCAGTTACAAAGACACACATAAAGAAGCAGGTAAGTTAATTACACCTAGTTATGTCAAGTCACTCAGTTAAAAAGACACAGATAAAGTAGCAGATAAGTTAATTACACCTAGTTATGTCAAGTCACTCAGTTACAAAGACACACATAAAGTAGCAGATAAGTTAATTACACCTAGTTATGTCAAGTCACTAAGTTACAAAGACACACATAAAGAAGCAGGTAAGTTAATTACACCTAGTTATGTCATGTCACTCAGTTAAAAAGACACACATAAAGTAGCATATATGTTAATTACACCTAGTTATGCCAAGTCACTCAGTTTCAAAGACACAGATAAAGTAGCAGATAAGTTAATTACACCTAGTTATGTCAAGTCACTCAGTTACAAAGACACACATAAAGTAGCAGATAAGTTAATTACACCTAGTTATGCCAAGTCACTCAGTTACAAAGACACACATAAATTAGCAGATAAGTTAATTACAGCTAGTTATGTCAAGTCACTCAGTTACAAAGACACACATAAAGTAGCAGATAAGTTAATTACACCTAGTTATGTCAAAGCACTCAGTTACAAAGACACAGATAAAGTAGCAGATACGTTAATTACACCTAGTTATGCCAAGTCACTCAGTTACAAAGACACACATAAAGTAGCATATAAGTTAATTACACCTAGTTATGCCAAGTCACTCAGTTACAAAGACACACATAAAGTAGCAGATAAGTTAATTACACCTAGTTATGCCAAGTCACTCAGTTACAAAGACACACATAAATTAGCTGATAAGTTAATTACAGCTAGTTATGTCAAGTCACTCAGTTACAAAGACACACATAAAGTAGCAGGTAAGTTAATTACACCTAGTTATGCCAAGTCACTCAGTTACAAAGACACACATAAAGTAGCAGATAAGTTAATTACACCTAGTTATGCCAAGTCACTCAGTTACAAAGACACACATAAAGTAGCATATAAGTTAATTACACCTAGTTATGCCAAGTCACTCAGTTACAAAGACACACATAAAGAAGCAGGTAAGTTAATTACACCTAGTTATGCCAAGTCACTCAGTTACAAAGACACACATAAAGAAGCAGGTAAGTTAATTACACCTAGTTATGCCAAGTCACTCAGTTACAAAGACACACATAAAGTAGCAGATAAGTTAATTACACCTAGTTATGCCAAGTCACTCAGTTACAAAGACACACATAAAGAAGCAGGTAAGTTAATTACACCTAGTTATGCCAAGTCACTCAGTTACAAAGACACACATAAAGAAGCAGGTAAGTTAATTACACCTAGTTATGTCAAGTCACTCAGTTAAAAAGACACACATAAAGTAGCAGGTAAGTTAATTACACCTAGTTATGTCAAGTCACTCAGTTAAAAAGACACACATAAAGTAGCATATATGTTAATTACACCTAGTTATGCCAAGTCACTCAGTTTCAAAGACACAGATAAAGTAGCAGATAAGTTAATTACACCTAGTTATGTCAAGTCACTCAGTTACAAAGACACACATAAAGTAGCAGATAAGTTAATTACACCTAGTTATGCCAAGTCACTCAGTTACAAAGACACACATAAAGAAGCAGGTAAGTTAATTACACCTAGTTATGTAAAGTCACTCAGTTAAAAAGACACACATAAAGTAGCAGATAAGTTAATTACACCTAGTTATGCCAAGTCATTCAGTTACAAAGACACACATAAAGTAGCAGATAAGTTAATTACAGCTAGTTATGTCAAGTCACTCAGTTACAAAGACACACATAAAGTAGCTGGTAAGTCAATTACACCTAGTTATGCCAAGTCACTCAGTTACAAAGACACAGATAAAGTAGCAGATAAGTTAATTACACCTAGTTATGCCAAGTCACTCAGTTACAAAGACACACATAAAGTAGCAGATAAGTTAATTACACCTAGTTATGCCAAGTCACTCAGTTACAAAGACACACATAAATTAGCAGATAAATTAATTACAGCTAGTTATGTCAAGTCACTCAGTTACAAAGACACACATAAAGTAGCAGATAAGTTAATTACACCTAGTTATGCCAAGTCACTCAGATACAAAGACACACATAAAGTAGCAGATAAGTTAATTACAGCTAGTTATGTCAAGTCACTCAGTTACAAAGACACACATAAAGTAGCAGATAAGTTAATTACACCTAGTTATGCCAAGTCACTCAGTTACAAAGACACACATAAAGAAGCAGGTAAGTTAATTACACCTAGTTATGCCAAGTCACTCAGTTACAAAGACACTGATAAAGTAGCTGGTAGGTTAATTACACCTAGTTATACCAAGTCACTCAGATACAAAGACACACAAAAAGTGGCAGATAAGTTAATTACTTCTAGTTATGCCGAGTCACTCACTTACAAAGACACACAAAAAGTAGCAGATAAGTTAATTACACCTAGTTATACCAAGTCACTCACTTACAAAGACACACAAAAAGTAGCAGATAAGTTAATTACACCTAGTTATGCCAAGTCACTCAGTTACAAAGACACACATAAAGTAGCAGATAAGTTAATTACAGCTAGTTATGTCAAGTCACTCACTTACAAAGACACACATAAAGTAGCAGATAAGTTAATTACAGCTAGTTATGCCAAGTCACTCAGTTACAAAGACACACATAAAGTAGCAGATAAGTTAATTACACCTAGTTATGCCAAGTCACTCAGATACAAAGACACACATAAAGTAGCAGATAAGTTAATTACAGCTAGTTATGTCAAGTCACTCAGTTACAAAGACACACATAAAGTAGCAGATAAGTTAATTACACCTAGTTATGCCAAGTCACTCAGTTACAAAGACACACATAAAGAAGCAGGTAAGTTAATTACACCTAGTTATGCCAAGTCACTCAGTTACAAAGACACTGATAAAGTAGCTGGTAGGTTAATTACACCTAGTTATACCAAGTCACTC